GGTTGGGCGTCTGCCTTCGGCTCAGGTCATGATCTCAGGGTCCTGGGATCGAGCCCTGCTTCGGGCTCCCTGCTCGGCGGGAAGCCTGCTTCTCCCTCTCCTGCTCCCCCTGATCCCTCCCTCGCTGTTGTCTCTGTCAAATAAATAAATAAAATCTTAAAAAAAAAAAAACCAATGATGTATTGTATGGTGACTAACATAACATAATAAAATAAAATTTAAAAAAAAATAAAAATTGTAGTATATCTACTGTTGCTAGGAAAAAAAAAAAGAAATGAAATTAGTTTGAAGAAATTAGAACGTGGACTCTAACACTGTTCCCATGTAAGATACAGAAATTTCCAGGCACTTGTAATTGAAGTTTGGGGAAAACATTGGAACATATGAAAACGGACAAAGTGGAATACTGTCTACATCAGATAGAACAGAGGGTTAAAAAGTGAGTTACTTAAATGTGTGGAAAAGTTGAATTCAAACAATTGGAAATTCCAGGAAATAAATAGAAGGTGCAGATTCCACTTCCCTAGTCGCAGATCGAAAAATAGCAGTTCCTGGCTCTGAGGCTGTGAGCCTTGCAATCATGGACCCTTCTTCAGCCCCAGGACGATGGGCCCTTACATCACTGGAACCCCAACAATTCTTTTCAGAGCCCTCTTTATGTCTCTGTTCCTCAGGCTGTAGATGAAGGGGTTCAGCATGGGCGTCACCACCGTGTACATCACCGAGGCTACTGCACTTGAGTGGGAGCTCTGGGGAGCAGCAGAGCTAAGGTACACTCCTAAGCCTGTACAATAAAATAAGGAGACAACGGAGAGGTGAGATGCACAGGTGGAAAATGCTTTATACTTGCCCTGAGCTGATGAGATCCCACATATGGAGGAAACTATCTTAGAGTAAGAGAAAAGGATCCCAGCCAGGGGACCACCACCCAGCAGCACAGTTGCAAAATACATCACCATGTCGTTAAGAAAGATGTCAGAACAGGCAAGTTGGACCACCTGATTGATTTCACAGAAAAAGTGGGAGATTTCCACCTCTGTACAAAAGGACAGCAACAACACCGTTAAGTTTTCTAATAAGGAATTCAGGACACTCATCACCCAGACCACCAGAACGAGCAGTACACAGTAGGAAGGTTTCATGATAACCGTGTAGTGCAGCGGGTGACAGATGGCCACAAACCTGTCATAGGCCATTACAGCCAGGAGAAAGTCATCGAATCCAGCAAAGAGTATGAAAAAGTACATCTGCGTGAGGCAGCCTGCATAGGTGATGACTTTGCTCTGAGCCTGGATGTTCCACAGCATCTTGGGGACTGTGGTGGAGGTGAAACAGATGTCTACAAAGGACAGGTTGGCGAGGAAGAAGTACATGGGGGTGTGGAGATGGGAGTCTGAGCTGACCGCCAGGATGATGAGCAGGTTTCCAAACACGGTGATCAGGTACATGGAGAAGAAAAGCCCAAATATGACTGGCTGCAATTCCGGTTTCTCTGATAATCCCAGAAGAAGAAACTCTGAAATTCCTGAATCATTTCCTGGTTCCACATGGTGGAGGTGACTACCAGGAAACAAAAAATAACATGACTAATTTTCTCAATAATGAACATTACAAATATCATTGAAATTCTATTTTTATTTTACATTCACAAAGTCAATATCCACAGTTTTCTATAGAAATTGTCCCCTGTCAGGAACCCCCATCCCAGCTCTGAATAGGAATGGGCATCCCACACATGGCCTTTCCCCCAAGTACTCATGTATTCTATACTTTTAATGAGAAATTCTGTCACACGTTTGAGGAATAAACTTGAGTACTGACTAACCTCCAGGCAAAGAATATAGGTTTCAGGAAACAAGTCTGCACAGTTTAGTGATGGAGAAGATAAGCAGATAAAAGATCAGATAGAATATCAGAAGGTGACCTGTGCTATGAAGAAAAAGCCTGTAAATGGAAAGAGAGCATGGAGGTGTTATTTTTTACTGGTTGCTTGGGTAGGCCAGCACACATTTTTTTATTTAAATTCAATTAGCCAACTTATTAGTTTCAGATGTAGTGTTCAATAATTTATCAGTTGCATATAACACCCAGTGCTCATCACAACACATGCCCTCCTTAATACCCATCACCAATTACCCCATCGCCCCACCCACCACCCCTCCAGCAACCCTGTTTGTTTCCTAGAGTCAAGAGTCTCCCATGGTTTTTCTCCCTCTCTGATGACTTCCCATTCAGTTTTCCCTCCCTTCCCTATGATCCTATGCGCTGTTTCTTACACTCCACATGAGTGAAACCAGCACACATTTACACAGAGGCCTCAGGAAGAGACAGAAGGAGACACAAGGTTATCTGAGGAAGTGTGTGCCCATCAGAGGGAACAACCCTGCAAAGGCTCTCAGAAAAGACTTGCTTTTTTTCAAAATTAATTTTAAAAAAAATTTGAGTGTGGTTGACTCACAATGTTACATTAGTTTTGGGTGTACAACACAGTGATTCAGCAAGTTTAAACATTACACCGTGCTCACCACCTGTGGAGCTTCTATCTGTCTCCACACAACGTTATATAATATCATTGACTATATTCCCTGGGCTGTGCCTTTTATTCCCCTGACCCATTCATTCCTTAACTGGAAGCCTGTATCTCCCACTCCCCTTCACCATTCTGCTTTCCATTTGTTCATTTATTGGTTGAAAAATCACTATTCTCACCTCCAGTCACAATAATAAAGCAAACAGGGATACGAGGCAAGCTGCTGATATCAGACTGTCTTTCCCCAAAAAATGTAAAACGGCATCCAAATTCCAGGAGCCAAGTCTCCTATGAGCATGTAATCATGGGTCTCCCTTTTAATAGCATCATTTTGTGTCCAGTAGTTAAAGAAACAAAAAATCAGTTCCAAAGTCTTTGAGGAATAAAAATAGGGAGAAAGATCTAATAAGCTCAGGTAGCCCCTAGAGATAGTGAGGAGGAGCAAACGTCCTTGGTTCTGGCAACACTCCAACCCCAGTTACAGCGCCTTGATGCCCAAAATAATAAAGCAGCAAGAAGCAGTTTCTCCAAAAGAAAAAGTAGGGATGTCTTTATGTTATCAAGACATCTGACCCATTGAACATCCCACCAGCATAACAAGCAAAGGGAAGACACCCACAATTCACAAAAAGAAATACACACAGTACAACAAAAGTGGGGGATTTTAAAAGATTATTTGCTAAAAAAAAACAAAACAAAACTTTTCTAAATGAAGAAACTTGGGTTTTGAATTTTGGATCTATGTGTATTTGCTATTTGAATTTGGAGGGCCAACCAAACTGTCCTAAATGTTAATATCCTTCCCCAAATAGGAGGTCTCGAGGTGTCCATCCTGCTAAGGTGGTTGACAGATTTAGTGAATATATGAAAAGACCTTAGCCTAGTTCCCACCTGTTGATAATGAATGCTTATCACCGGTGATGAGATCTGGCTACTTTTTCTTCTTTCCATGTCCCCATCGCTTCCCAACCTCTGGGGCCCCAGTTCCCTGAGCCGCCATACACCTGCTGCCCTGATCTATTTGGGATTATTCACCTCCTATCTTCAAAATCCCATCGCCTCTTTCAAACTGCAAAGAGTCATCTCCTTCATGAATTTGTTTTTGCTTTGTTTTGTATTTTAACGTTCCCCCAGAAAAAGGACACTTTCTCTTGCAATAATTTGGATGGAGGGATTATCACTGTGTAACTTTTATTTAATTCCATGTATATTTCCCTGCTAGACTGAGAGTGCCCTGGGGCATGTTATACAGATTCCTACCCTTTACCCCAGACATATTTTGGTCGGGAACAGTAGAAGCAAATAAATTTTCGTGAAGGAATGAGAGAATCTGTGCTCAGTGATGAGAGACAGAACAGAAGCAGGGAGCAACTAGCACAGGAATGGAGGACATGGGAGAGAAATGTTTTCCATATTCTGAGATTGGAAACATTTGTGGGGTCAGGCTGTGGTTTTGTAAGAATATAATACAGTAGAATAAATAAGACACAATAGAAAATATCAGAGTGCATCATATGCAGTCAGGGTGCATAGCAAATCATTTCATGGTTTTCCTCCTTGAGCCATATGACTGACTGATAGATTTGACCACTCAGAATTTATAATCTCTCACACTAGCTACCAAATAGATCTGTGCATACATACAAGAATTAAACAGCAAATGGCAAATTTGGCTTAAACATTTGTAATTATTTGGTTGAAAGAATGCAATCAAAAAAGAAAGAAAGAAAGAAAGAAAATGATTCAGCAAGAACAACACACAAACAAAAACAAGAAGAAGAATCCTCATACCCCAGGATATAGAGCAAAGAACTTGCACAGATAATTTGCCATAGATAAAGTAAATGGCTAATAAAACCCAGAATATTCTGCCTCCAGGTAATGAAATGAGTGCAAAACAAAGCCCTTTAGCATAAGCCTGTTTATGTTTTAAATAAACTTTTTAAGTGAATACCTAATGTGAGAGAGGATTCTGTGAAATGTATGTCTCAGGAACAGCAGTTGCAAGTAGTGCCTCCCTCCATTGGACTGGATCTTTCTAATGAATACAAATTTGGTCCAATATACCCCATCCTAAATATTTTTTATTCTTATTTTTTTTAAAATTTATTCATTTATTTGAGAGAGAGTGCAATCAAGGGGAGGAGTAGAGGGAAAGGTAAAAAAAAGAATCTCAAACAGACCCCCCACTGAACACAGACCTGGAACAGGATTTGATCCCTGGAACCAGAGATCATGACCTGAGCCAAAACCAAGAGCCAGAAGCTTACTGACTGAGCCACCTAGAAGCCCAGTAAACGTATTTTGTAAATGCCCTCACTGCTCTGCACCCGCATCCATCCCTAATAGTCTATTTTCATATTCCCCCTTACTGCAAATCTCCTTGAGGTGTTCACATTTTCCTAAAGAGAATGCCTCCCATTCCCTCTTTAGTCTAATCCAACTGGACTTTATTCCCACCACTTAATTATCTACAGTAATCCTTGTATTGCCAAGTTCACAGACATTTCTTTTTTTTTTTTTTTATTAACACATACTGTATTATTTGTTTCAGAGGTACAGGTCTGTGATTCATCAGTCTTACACAATTCACAGCACTCACCATAGCACATACCCTCCCCAATATCCATCACCCAGCCACCCCATCCCTCCCAACCCCCTCCCCTGCAGCAACCCTGTTTGTTTCCTGAGATTAAGAGTCTCTTATGGTTTGTTTCCCTCTCTGGTTTCGTCTTGTTTGATTCTTCCCTCCCTTCCCCTATGATCCTCTATCTTTTTCCTCAAATTCCTCATATCAGTGAGATCATATGATAATTGCCTTTCTCTGATTTCTTTTTTTAACATATTAAATAAATTGACTAGAAATGAATGAGTTCACCACTCCAACAAACACAGTGATCACTTGGCTCCAGGCTCGGCTGGATAGGCTGTCAGGTGACCTCAGGTAAAAGCTTTCTGCTTCCATTTTCCCTGAACCTTTCCTGAAATACCGGCTGAGCTTTGAGACTCACCGGAATGGGGTCTCTGAGAGGAAGGTCTCCATGTGGAGGTCTGAATCCCCCGCTGGATGGCTGATGATGGAGACCGAAGCTCTGTTTCCAGACAAGACAGCAGGAAGGCGTGAAGCATGGGTCCCCCAGCAGATGTAGGAATCCAAGTGCAAAAACCGTATCTCCTCAAGCTCAAGGTTGAATATGCCCAGGGGCTGCAGAAGAGGAGATATTTACAACTCCTTATGTTTGCTATATCTGTTCCCTATCCCTGTTCATTAGACACTTTTCCCATTATTACTCCAACCCTTGAGCACATCTTCCCATGGGAACTTATCTGGACAGAATAGAATTTTTTCCTGTAGATTCTTGTTCCCAAGAGACCAGGTTAGAATTCAAGTGCATCCAATGCTTATCACACCTCCCTGAACTTGCCTGGCTTCTAGAGCTCTAACATTGAAACTTTCCACAGCCCTGAGTGAAAGTTTTTTTCCAAATCTAAGACTGAGGAACCTGTCTTGACCATGCCCCCTGGGTCTCCAAAATGTTGACTCCTGGTGGGACCACAACTCCTGATAGCTCTAGAAAATTGCTCTTCCTTCTTCAACAAGCAAGCGTGTGTTCCTTTGCTATAAAACCATGGGTACAACAATCCTTTTGTTCATAATTCCTTTGACAAATCAATTAGGAGCTTAATGATTTTAATACAGATTAAAAGTTGACATTTAGTCCTTCACTTTTAAAACAGTTGGGTGTATAAGAAATGCATTTAGACCACTCAAGGCACCATGGGCTAAGCTTAGAATCTTATATGGATGGCCTCATTTATTTTGTGCAAAAGACATTCTATCATGACCATAAAATGATGAGCCTCATTGCATATTTATAGAAATGTGACTGGGAAGGGTTGAATGATCGACCCAGAATTATGAACTGGGTCATTATGAACTGATGTGCTTTGACTTGAATGCAACAAGATAGGCCAGGGGTTCTCAACCAGGGATGATTTTGCCTCCAGAGGACACTTGAAAATATCTGGAGAAATTTTTGACTGTCATAGCATGGGAAGTGTTGCTACTAATTTGGCATGTCTAGGGTGGCCCAGAGATTCTGCATCTGTAACTAGATCCCAGTCATTGATGTTGCCTTGTGTGTTAAGGCTGTGGTCCAGTGTCAGAGCCAGGTGTGTTCTTCTTCTCCCAGAACCCCCCCCCACCTCAGATCTGACCTTGGTAGTCAAACAAGTTTACAGGTGTCACTTTTCCCTCATGACACGGAAATGAACCTTTCAAGCCTTTGTTCCCTTATTGGCAAACTGGAGAAAGTCCATCTAAGGATTCGGTCTGAGAAGTTAGTAATATTTTAGAACACACAGGAAATTCCCTGGCACAGAGCTGGTGCTCCATCCACAGGGACTATTGTGACCATCTAAGTTCCACATTTCCTAAGCTCATTATGACACCAAAAAAGGTCTCCTTTAGGTCTGGAATTAAGTCCAGGATTCCTCTGCCTCTGGGACAGTTTTCTGGGTGGGTTGGGAATGAAGTGTGTGTCACTGGCAGCATCCTGCACAGGTGGGCAAAACAGGCGCTCACTCACACACTCACATTCATCCACAGGAGAATTCCCTGGCCAAGAAGATCTCCTGTGGCACTGAGTGTGCTGCCTTAGGATAGAGGGTTCGTGGGTAAAGTGTAATTGTTCCTCTGACTCTCTTCAGTGTGGTCAATGCTGGCTGTATTTTCCTCCAATTTTAGGCTTGAGTTTCTTCATCGGACCCCTGTACTTCCACGAAGGTACTGTCACCCATGAGCTATTGTCAAAAATAGTGCCCTTGGGGAAAAGAAGTGAGAAAACTCCTATTTCGCCATTTTGAGGGTTGTTTTTTTTTTTTTAGGAAAATACATGTTTTCCTAGATGCTCCACTAAGAGATTTCAGCTCACATACCTTTGGGCAAATTTGTGTCATGTGGTATATTAGGCAGAATGATGGCCTTCCAAAAATGTCCACGTCCCAATCCCCAGAACCTGTGAAAATATTAGGTTACAAGAGAAAAGGAATTAAAGTTATTGAAGGAATGAGGATTGCTAATAACCTGACTTTAAAATAGTTTATCTGGGGTTATTTGGATAAAGCCATTGTAATCACAAGGGTCCGTGAATGGATAAAGGAGGCAGCAATAAGAGTCCAAGAGATGAGACATGAGAAAGACTCAGCCAGCCACTGCAGGCATTGAAGATGGAGGGCAGGGCCATAGGACAAGGGATGCAGGCAGTCTCTAAAAGCTGGAGAAGGCAAGGAAGCGGGTTACCCCTTCGAGTCTCCAGGAGAGAGTGCAGCCCTGCAGACAACTTGATTTTTTACCCCAGGGACACCGATTTTTGGACTTCCTATCTCCAGAACTGTTAAGTTAATACCTTGTGCTCTTTTTAAGCCACTAAGTCTGGGATCACTGGTTACTACAGCAACAGGAAGCAAAGGCACATGATCACTCCTATACTGATGTTTTAATCTGAGTATATTGCCACCCCTATCAAATCAGCGTCCTGCTCCTAGGAAAAGCAGAGAATAAATATTGGAAAGGTAACCTAGCCTCTGTTCATGATTAAAATGTGCAGTAAACTTCTGTTTATCAAAACATTGTGAAACTGGCTTAAGCCTATTGGTGTCAAGACAGGAGAATAAGAAAACACAAATCCTATTAAGAAAAAACTGTTATATTATAAAAGTGGAATCAAAATCAATGAGGAAAGCAAGGCTTTGGAAATAAATGGTGCTTGGACAATTTGCTATTAGTCAGAAGTACAATAACATTAAATTTCTATCTTTTTTTTATTCTTTGTAGAAATCCACCTTTTTAAAAATTTTATTGTTATGTTAGTCACCATACAATATATCATTAGTTTTTGATGTAGTGCTCCGCAATTCATTGTTTTTAAATTTCTATCTTAATGCCAACAACTTTTTGGCATTGAGTGAATTTGTAGAAAAATAAAATGACTAAAATGAACCTGTAGAAAAAATATAAAACTGCAGTGGACTTCTAGAAGAAAGATTAAATTAATCCTCTGAACATAAACCAGATGGAAGTAAAAGAATTGAGAACAATAATTGATGGATTCCAGCACATGAAAGTCTACAGGTCCAACAATAAAGAAGATTTAAAAATAAGTGTAAATGTAAGAAAAATATTTACAACACATTGGATATTACAAAATATAAAGTGTAACCATGTAAAAAGTTCTTTTAAATCAATGAGAATAAAAATACCTAAGATGAGAAATGATCTAAGGGTGCAAATGAAAAATATAGGAAGAATATATATGAATAAACATATAAATGCAAAAATGTGCTAAGCTTTGTAACAATCAAATGAAGTGAAATTATAATATTAAGGAAACCATAATAAATATCACTGTAGAATTTTATTTATTTGTAAGCCTGCAGCCCCCAAACACAGAACATTTCTTAGCTGGGGAGCTGACTTCTAGAAATGCACGTTTATGTGTTATGGGTTAAACTGTTATTATAATAAAATTTGGCTGGAGGCAACATAATCTGATGCCTGAGAGAGCATCTGAACCAGGCAGCCCTCTACAGACCTCAGAAGGGGTGAGCCTTTTCACCACAGCCTTGACCCTGAGTGAGTCAGCTAGATACCATAAGCTCCACCTCCTCCCTAACAATAGGAGAATGATACTAATCACATAAGTATTATTGGAAAACTTAAATTAGATAATGTGTATAAACACTTAATCAGTACTGGTAGAGTGCTATTATTACTTTTTGTTATCAAGATCCATAACAATAACCAAATTTCTTGAGGCACCTGTGTAGCTCAGTTAACTGACTGACTCTTGATCTCAGCTCAGGTGATGATCACAGGGTTCTGAGTTCAAGCCCCACCTTGGGTCCTCCTGGGACCTACTAAAAACAAACAAACAAAACAAAACAAAAACACCAAATTTGTTTTCTATCTCAAAAGTTTTCATTAAATCAATACATTTCATGTTCTGGTCCTGACTGTATTTAACCACCCACACATCTATTTTTCACTCAACAAAAATTCACTGACCATAAACTCCATCCTGAGAACTATAGTAAGCACTGCAGTTTCAAAGATAAGTAAGAGAGAGTTCTAAAATTCAAGGAATCTATGTTGTGGATGAGCAGAGAAATTTAGTAAAGTTGATGTGACTGTATGGAAAGTGAATCAGATCAGGAAAAAGGGGGAGAGTCAGATCTTTGAGTTGATTTTATTCACATGACCTGAGAAAACATTTCTGTAAGTGAGTTTTCGGGACATTTCCAAAATAGGCACACATTGCATCACTCTAAGTATGGATATTAACTACATGAGATTTGACTTATTATTTTTTTTTAAGAAATCCAAACGATTACTGAAGATTACTGAGAAAAATACCAGGTTGTAGTCACACCAAATGAAAATGACTGGTTATAAAGTGAAAAGGGGAACCCAGGATATAACCTGAAGAAAAATAGAGAAGACAAATAGAAGACAAGAAGAAGAAAAATAGAGAAGACAAGGAAGACCCAAGGAGAGAACTGCTTTAAAATGTGTACACCTGGGAAAAAATAAAGATAGTGAGATGAAGGAAGCCAGGATCTCTGGGCCTCCATATTGTGGGCCCAGCTACTCAGGAGAGTCCTATAATGGTTCCTGATGCTGAAAGGCACCACCCTCCTGAGAAGCCTGCTCAGGGTCCCCTTCATGTCCTTGTCCCTCAAGCTGTAGATGAAGGGGTTCAGCATGTGGGTGACAATGGTGTACATCACCGAGGCCACCAGACTCGTCCTGGAGGATGAAGTCCCTGCAGAAGTGAGGTCAACCCCAAGGCCTGCGCCATAGAACAAGGAGACCACTGAGAAGTGAGACCCACATGTGGAAAAGGCTTTGTTTTGCCCACAGCTGAGGAAATGCTGGGTATGGAAGAAACAATTTGATAGTAAGAAGAAAGTATTCCATGGCAAGGAATCATGGCCACACTCCCAGTTGCAGAATACACCACTATGTTATTGATGAGGGTGTCAGAATAGGCGAGCTTCAGGACTTGAGGAAGATCACAAAAAAAGTGTAGGATTTCCATGTTTGTGCAGCCTCAAAAACATCAAAGTCTCCAACAGGGAGCCCAGGACACTGATGCACCAGGATTCCAAGGTCAGCAGCCCACAGAGCTGGGGGTTCATGATAACTAAGTAGTTCAGGGGGTGACACATGGCCACAAAATGGTCATAGGCCATCGCGGTCAGAAGAAAGACGTCCAACACAGCAAAGAGTATGAGGAAATAAATCTGTGTGAGGCAGCCTTCATAGGTTATGACTTTGCTCTGAATCTGGATGTTCCACAGCACCTTGAAGATGGTGGTGGAGGTGAAACAGATGTCAGCAAAGGACAGGTTGGTGAGGAAGAAGTACATGGGCTTGTGGACGTGGGAGTCTGAGCAGATGGCCAGGATGACGAGCAGGTTCTCAGTGAACGTGACCAAGTATATGGACAGGAACAACCCTAAGAGCATGAATTGAACCTCAGACTTTGCTCAAAGTCCCAGGAGGAGAAACTCTGAAGTATGTATTTGATTTCCTGATTCCATGTGGATGAAAGAACGAGCAGGAAAGGGAAAAAATCAGCATCCAATGACCATCACACGGACAGCACAGAAATGTGGTTGCCTTTCATTTCAGGTGAATGCATTAATAAAGTACTACCCTGTTATAATTGCCTTGGGTGGGGAATTTGATATGCTTCCATCCTTCCCTCTGCTGCCACTGTCATCTGGAAATGTAGTCCTAGTTCCAAAGCAGTTGTGCCCCTTATAGCCTGGCTACTCAGAGTGTGGTCCGTGGACCAGCAGGAGCAGCATTGCCCAGAGCTTCTCTGAATGCAGAGTCCCAGGCCACATTCAGACTTGCTGAATGAGAATCCACATTGTGACAAGATCATGGGGGGTTTCCCTGCTCATTCATGACTGAGGAGAGCTGGTCTAGAATATCTGTGGGTTTCAGTCCTTTACTTTTCATCTCCTCACTTTCATTTTCCTCTATACCATCCCTCAAACTTCCTTACATAATATGTAGGCAAAATAGGAGCTCAATAATTAGGGCTGTTTTCTGCCATCTGTGTAGATGGAATAATATTTATACATTAGTCTTAACTACTCCAGACACTGTGTATGAATCCTGTATTTCGTTTTTCAAAGCAAATATTTGTAAATTTCATAATGATTTCCATTGCTTCTGTGACCCAGATTGTATTATATTATTTTGCATGGTCATTTGTGACATGCTGTTTTTTTTTAAATGTTTTATTTATTTATTCATGAGAGTCAGAGAGAGAGAGAGAGGCAGAGGGAGAAGCAGGCTCCCCACCGAGCAGGGAGCCCGATGCGGGGCTCAATCCCAAGACCCTGGGATCATGACCCAAGCGGAAGGCAGACGCTTAACCATCTGAGCCACTCTGGCGCCCCTTTGTGACACGCTGTTCTTTGTCATTGGAAAGTCAGACATTATGCCTTCTCTCTTCTATCTTTGAGTAGAATTTCTTTAAATATCATTCTTAAAAGTAAATAAGCACCACATATTATGCTGATGTT